ATAAACAGATTAATAATTAAGCCCAACTCCTGCCAACGCCTCTGTTTAAGTAATTTATTGAACCAATTAATGGGGAAAAAATGAACTGAGTAATATGATACATATTGCAGTTGCAAAAGAAAATTGAATCTAACCTATTAAGTACACAAACCTCAAGAGAACTGCAAAGCATATTGAATATAGGCAGTAAGGAATACCCATCCAACAAATTCCAGTCTTTAACAAACCATATCCTTCCTCCTATGGCATATTAGCTATTCTATAATTCTAATTTTTATAATTCTAACAACAGTTTCTCAGGGACATGATGTACTGCCAAAATAGCTATCAACATATGTATACATACATATTTGTACCATTTTCTTTGTTTCTAGGTGGTATATATCCATATATGTCCGCCTTCTAATTTATAGTGTTACTTTTTTGTTGCAATTAGTATGTTTTATTGAAATTGAGTTCTTAAGAAGCTTTCTAAATTTCTAAAATTGCCAAATAAAAGTTATTTCATATGTTAAGTATCATCTATAATAACTTCTTTTCAGGGTGAACTGCTATAGCATGTTGTCTGCCCAGTGCCCCTTTGGCGGCTTCAAGATGTCTGGAAATGGACGAGAACTGTAAGAATAACTTTGTATTGATATATTTATTTCATAAAAATGGTTTTTACTCCTAGGAAATTAACTCACAGTTGCCACTTAAAGTAAAACCTACTTCTATTCTTTCCTGGAGAATTTATACCACCCAATAGCTTATTAAATGTTGGCTGTGCCCCGTAAGTGCAGAAAGGTGCTGACATAAGGGAAATATAATTTATTAAGCTTCTACTATTCATAAGGGTCTGTATTAAGCACTTTACAGTGTGATTGAAATATTGCTTACTTTTAAAATTGTTTGCTGTGTATATGAATGAAATCCATGTGGGAAACATCTCCAGAAAGGAGGCGAAAAGCATAAAGTGGGGATTGTGATAAGTGTGCAAATGTAAGAACACTCCAGTTATTTGAATATGCCTCCTAAATAAGTGAATTAGGTACCTTATCTCAGAAAACATCAGTGTAAGAGGAATTATTCTCATTTGTTGAAATATTATTGATGTAGACTCTAAAATTTTAAATTACCTGAATAAGTTATTTTTGGAACTAAAATATAAACCTGAAGGGAAATTTGACTAAGGAAAACATGTTTTATAGCAGTGAATAGATGGAGAATATTTATGTATAAATGTATTTATGAGCCTTCCGTTGCTTTTGAAACTGGGAGACTTTTTATAATAATGTTCACATACATACGTAAACAGAGAAAGTAGCGGCAAGATGCTTGGTAAGTTTATTTAAGAAATTTCAACCATTTTATAGTTTAAATTTTCTTGCATTTACCAATAAATTTAAAAATTCATGAAGAAAGAAGATAAATAATATACAATCCTTGTGGAATCAAACAGTAAAGCTGCCCATTTGGTAAATAGCAAGTAAAAATAGGTCTTTCTCAGTTTCTAAGGGTCATGAATGCGTGACGTAGCCATGTCCTTTGTCATTTGTCTTAATGAATCAGCAAAATTACAATGAAACAAATATTTTGAGGGAGCCAGTGAAATGGATGGTTGATAGAAAGATCTGTCAACTTCTCAACATGCATTCATTAGCACTTGCTATGGATAAGGTCCTAGGGACATGACACTATGTTCTGTCCTCTACATAACTGTGGTGGCAGGAGGAATATGTAAAAATATGTGCAAAATAACCTGTACACACTAGATCAAGACTCCATATCTCACAGGGGCAGAGAAGCAGTTAAAGTGCAGAGCAATGTATTGAAGGACAGGAAATTTGGACAGCACCAGACTTTAGCATTTAGGATGGCATGTCTCTGTCACTATTTTCATCTGTCACACAAGGTCAAGGATTGTGGGTTCAGATTAAGAAGGCCTGAAGCCAAGAAAATTGGCTGAGATTTTACTTGTAGAGTAGTAAAGAGCCATGGATATGTTTAGAATGTTTTGAGGAGATAGCAGCAAAAGATCAACCCATAGAAAGTACAAGGCATATCTGAGAAGACATCATTTGTGTTGACCAACCTGCATTTAAATCCTGACTCTACCACATGCTAGCCATGCTGCCCGCTTCAAGTTGTCTAACTTCTGAGCCTCCATGCCTCATATTTCAAATGGAGATGTCAACTTTCCTCTGAGATGGTTATGACATAATGAATGTCCAATCCTTAGCCTTACAGCTGTCACAAAGTGGAAATTCAGCAAATGGTTTCTTCCTTCCCTAGATTCTTCTCTTTATAATA